CAAGTTTTAAAAGATCCTTCATCCGTCCTTTCTACGCCAGATGACTGCTAGTGGTGGTCACCGAGGAGGCCATCGACAGCGTGGACCTCGTCGAAGTGGTGCTCTGAGCGCTGATTCGCCGACTCTGCACGAACCGTTCCGCCAGACTGGTGTACCCCGAGGACTCGCCGCCGCTTCGAAAGGAGGAGTGAGCCAACTCGGAGGGCTTTCCGCCGTTCATCTCCGCCAGCACCTCGGCCAGCATCGCCGCCAGCTGCTGCCTGAGCTGGCCAATNTGAAGATCTCCCAGAGGAGGACGCCGAAGGACCAGACGTCGGAGGCGAGGCTGAATTTGGGCTGCTGATGATGATGAGATCGCTGGTGGGTTTTCAAGCTTTTCCTCTTTCCCCCGCCACCAGTGAGCAGACACTCGACGGCCATCCACCGTACTGGCCTGTAGATGTCGTTAATGGTCACGTAGTCGGAGCGGTACTGCAGCTGNAATGATGAGATCGCTGTTGGGTTTCTAAGCTTTTCCTCTTCCCCCCAGTGAGCAGACACTCGACGGCCATCCACCGTACCGGCCTGTAGATGTCGTTAATGGTCACGTAGTCGGAGCGGTACTGCAGCTGCCGACACAGGCCAAAGTCGCCAATCTTCAGCTGGTAGTGCTCATCCAGCAGGCAGTTCCGGGCGGCCAGGTCGCCGTGGACGAAGTTGGCCGAGGCAAGGTACTCCATTCCTGAGGGGGGAAAGTAAAGACAGGAAAATTATGTTTTTTCAAAATTTGAATCAATCAACCAATCAAACTAACCTTCAGCAATCTGCACGGCAAAGGTGAGCAGCCGGACGATGGGAAAAACCTTGCTTTTGCGCAAGTACCGACACAGATCGCCGTTGGCCATGATGGGCAGGACAATGGCGGGCATCCAGGGACTGGCCGAGTCGAGGGTGATGGCCACCGGACGGAGGATGCGCTCGTGCTCGAAGCCGCTCATGCGAATGCCCTCCGTGAGGAACTGCTTCACCTGCGCCAGAGAGGAGCCTGACGGAGAGAAAGGTTAGTATTTTTAGAGTTAAAAGACTTTTATTTACCTTTTCTCAGCTTCTTAATCGCCACCTCCATCTTTGTCCCATTCCCATCAGCGCTGACCACCTCTGCGCGGTACACCTCGCCAAAGTTGCCATCTCCGAGCTTCATCTTCAGCGTCACACTGGCGTACTCGGCGTACAAGCCCTTCTCTACCAGCGTCTTCCTCATGCTGCCCATCAGAAGCCGCCGCTCCAGCAGCTGCCACGCCGTCCCGATCTGCCGCCGCCGGAAGTTGAGCAGACTGGCGACGCCTCCCACCAGACCGACGATGAACAGCAGGCCGGCAACGTAGTGGAGGAGGTGCATCTCCGCCCACCAGGGACCAGACTTGCCCTCTCCATTATCAACTATGTCTTCTTCGTCAGGCTTCGTCTGCTGGTCGCCCTCGAGCACGATCTTCAGCGGATCATCACTGTCAATGTCACCGGGGACGTCATTTCCCCGCAGGTTGAGACGGTACCGCAGTTTGGGGTANCTCCTCGTCAGGTTTCGTCTGCTGGTCGCCCTCGAGCACGATCTTCAGCGGATCATCACTGTCAATGTCGCCGGGGACGTCATTTCCCCGCAGGTTGAGACGGTACCGCAGTTTGGGGTAGACTAAAGAAGATGAGGCGATTTTAAGAGGATTTAAGAATTCGATTTCGATTTTTTCGCTTACGCAGTGTGCCCTCCTTCTCGTCGACACCCTCGATGATGCAGCGAATCTCCTTCTCCTTCAGCGGGTGGACAATGGTGCAGTTGCGAGGCTCCTCCTCGCCGGCCAGCCGGAAGGTGACGTTGAGCAGCGAGTTCGTGCCGGTGTTCAAGTGCCGGCCGATGATGATCACCAGCGTGGGCACGCCGGCCAGCATTGTCCGCGGCTGGACGTAAGTCACCTCGGGCAGCTGGTCGGAGATCTCGGAGCAGGCTATGAAAGTATATAGTTTTTGATAACTTGATAAGTGACTCATATCATATTTCCCCTTTCAAAAGACACCTACTCATTCTGGCGGCGGGCACATCGGCGATGCACCACTGCTTGCACCACTGACAGTCCACCTCATTGGCGCAGGAGCTGTCGTTCTTCAGCTGAAAACAGTGGTGGTCGGTGATGCGGTAGGTGTTCATCTGGCCTTTTGAACTGGGATTTGGAAACACCTCCTTCTTCGTGTGGACTCTTGAAGTTGAGGATTGAAACTTAGGGTTGATTTTCCCCATTTGAGATCTGTTGTGGGAAAAATAGTAAAGATGAGGTAATTTTTGCTGACTAGATTTGTTTACGCAAGTAAATCATCCACTGTTTGTTTTCAGCCTTGTGTTTACTCAAATCGCACAATGTTTGCCCTTTCAATCTACAAGATCCTCTAATGCAACAAAAAGCTCCTAATCGAACATGGGCTGATGATTACGAACCTGATGTTGTTGTTGATGTTGTCGTTATTGTTGCTTGTTAGCACCTCATTAGCATCACTTCTTGAATGCCTTGATAATGGTACCACGACAGCCATCGCCTGACAGACTTGAAAGGGCACCAACAGAAGGAGAAGAATTGAACAACTGAAAGCAAATGTTTTTTGCTTGTGATGAGTTGATGATGATGATAGAGTCAATGATTGAAACGAAAACAAACTGAACAATTTCTCAAGAAGCACCTCAATCCTCGTCGTCATGGTCGCCAGTTGTCGAGTTGATATGGGAAAAATCTGGTTGAGAAGTGCTGAAGCTGTTGTGGTGGTAGTGCTGCCGTCTTCATTCTGCTGAAAACGGTTTCCGGTCACGGAGAAAATGTAATGGGGCATTCTTCTTTTACTTCTCATAACTCATCACAGAGCCCATCATTTCATACTGCCGCCATCATGAACAAACAAAAGAAAGAAGAAGATGCCTCAGCAACAACAGATGGGGGCAATTTTAATAAATGGCTGTTTGCTTTAACGCTTTTTCCACGAGTGAAACAAAAAAAAGGATGCACTAAGAACAAATGTTTTCTCTTCACCAGATGAGCGAGCACAATTTGCATTCAATGCAGAAAACACTGTTTTCTGGTGTGTGACGTATGAGGTGTGAATATGAAAAAGGAGAAAAATAAGGCTCAATTTGCATTAACAAGTCACTTAGTGTTCGGTCTCTTAGTCTTCCTCCTCGTCTTCTTCTTCTTCTTTTCTTGGGTAAACTGTCGGTGTTGATGGCCTCCCAACNAGCACAATTTGCATTCAATGCAGAAAACACTGTTTTCTGGTGTGTGACGTATGAGGTGTGAATATGAAAAAGGAGAAAAATAAGGCTCAATTTGCATTAACAAGTCACTTAGTGTTCGGTCTCTTAGTCTTCCTCCTCGTCTTCTTCTTCTTCTTTTCTTGGGTAAACTGTCGGTGTTGATGGCCTCCCAACAAACAATTTAGTCAATGAGATGCACTGGTAAGCGCGCACAGACAAGAGAATATTCTTTGGCACTTTTTCTGTTGTTTATCAGCTAAATTGGCGTAAATTCACACAAACACACACAAGAGCACACATTACAAATTCACTCGTGAAAGGTCTTCTAGGTACGCTGCACTACTTCAAGGCAATGTAGTTGAGCTGTCAGCAAAAAGAAAAAATTGTTTGACGGCTCAAAGAACAAAGAATGCTTGCTTGCTTGCTTGCCTGCCTTCTCAAGGATGCAGCTGTTGTTGCTGGCGATGCTGGCCAACAAAGAGGTGCTCGCCCGAGTGGGCATCTTTTTAAACATTTAGGGGTTCATCTTTGGTTGCCTGGTAGTTGATGATGGCACTGCCAAGGTCACCAGCACAATCACCAGCACTGATGGTGGCACCTAAGTCACTGTGCCAGCTGTGAGATGCAAGCTATCTTTACGGCACTTTTTGCTGCTGCTTTTGTTGACTAATTGCACCATCATAAAAAAGTAGACCTGATGACAGTCAGTCAGTCAGTGAGGCAATCTGCAATCTTTCACTCTGCATTCTCTTATCAGCACCTCACTGCTGATGATGATGCCCATCATCGATCATTCTCGACCTTTTATTTTCTTCTTTGTTCCCTCTCTCTCCCTCTTTCTCTTTGTCTACCCGTAACGCTGTGTTGACTTGTCTGAAGCCTGCTTTATTTGCTACTTTGTCACGTCTTGTGACTGCCTGGCTGGACTAAGTCTGTCTCTGTCGTAAAGATATGCCCAGAACGTCTACTACTACATCCACCTCCACCCAAAAGCATCTCCAAAACTACCTTAGGGTAGTATGTCTTCTTATGACTAAAGCGTGTTCTGAAATAAAAGTTGCACATTTATATCTCTGCCTCTTTATGTTTACCCATACAGTCCAAGCGGATGATGATGATGATGCTGACTTTAGTATGTACAAAGACGAAGCTCAGACGAACTTTATGGCACGCCTAGTGTGAGTGAAGTAGCATTGAAAGCACTGCTGCTGCTGCTGCTGCTTCTGTGTACACTAATTCCATTACGGTACACTGCTTTTTATTGGAATAGCAGTGGAAGAAGCACACTATTCTCCAGAACTTCATCAGTGTGTGCACTAATTCTGTCTGTGCAGTGTCTGAGCCTTCCTTTTTGCCTCCAGTGACTACTACTAGTTGGCTCAAAATTTTGGCTGATTTTAGTGGAAAATTAGCAGCACCAGCAGCAGCTGAAACTGAAGCATTGACCAGCAGTGATGCTGTCAAGCTGTCGTCAGAAGGCAAAAGCATCTCCTCCTCCTGCTCACATCTGTCACTGACAATCGCTTCGAGCGGTCGCTCACTCTTCCACGCTCACTTTCTCTGATTAGACCGTTTTTCAATTGCCTTGTCCTCATTTGCTGTGTCGCATTTGCTGTTGTTGTTGTCCATTCATTTTTTTGTCGCAGCACTCGGGCACAATCTGTTTCCAATGGATCACTTCAATCTCGGCGCACTTCATTATGAAGCAAAGGCACAAGCAGTGAGGTGCTACTTGACCCGGAAATTGCAGACTGCTCTGCTGCTTCCGTCCTTAACCAGAGAAAAAAATCTTGCAAAAACTGCAATAAAGCATCTCTAACCAGTAATGAGATTAGCGCCGTAGGTTAATAAATTAGGCACAAACAAGAAGAAGAATGAGATGACAAACAGTGGTGGTAAGCAGCAAGTAGAGTGTACCTTTATTTTGACATGCTTTCTCATATTTTTTCTTCTTTTTCTTCAAATTCCTCAACACTGACTGACTGGTGAGCAGGAAAAAGAAGAACGATGAGAAGAAGGAATGCCGGCCGGGTTGGCCAAACTTGCTGAAGGCAAACAAAAAACAAACCGAGTCACAGAGAGTTTTGGTCACACAAAAAATGAGAAAGAGAGAATTCTGTGAGATATGGTTTGCGGCACTCCACGGGAGTACTCACTGAAAGGGAAATAAGAAGAAAGAGAAAAAGAAAGTTGGCTAAAATTGTCCGCTTCTGTACAGAAGCAGTACAGCAGTGTTTGTATGTGTGTGCCTCCGAGTGGCATTCAATTAGAAGGGCAAATATTTGAGAATTGAGAAAGAAAGAGCTTAAGGTATGTAATACTGCCATTAAGATTACAGCAAATGCAAAAGCAGGAAAGGCAAAGATGAGGAGCCCTAAGCGAGGACCGACTCAATACTACTGTTGCCGTTTATTACTGATGCTAGAATTTGGGATTTTTATACAAATTATTAGAAACAAATTGAACGTGCAGGCTGAAACGCGAGTTTTTAGAAGATTTTGTAGCTTGAATTACCTGTGTAATTGTGGGTGGGTTTTTCTTTCTTTAGTTATCAGTTGAAAAATGTTTGTCAGTGGTTATTTTTCTGCTAAATTCAGTGATGATTTTGCTGCTGTTTTGCCCTAGTAAAAAAGCAAAATATCTACTGGGAAAAACAAAGGGGACTTATGGTATGTAATACTGTCATTAAGATTTAAGCAAAGGCAGAGCCTCACTACTGCGTTTATAACGGGAATAATTTATTATTAGAATGGGCCAACTTACTACTACTACTACCTACAGTAGTGTTGCGCACTCAAAGCAGGTGCTTTTTCTGCTGTTGACCATCACGTAATGAATGGAAACACTGAAATGATGAGCAGGACAAAGAGTTGTGTGCCTGTTGGCAGACAGTTTTCTCTGGTAAGGTCCATTAGGTGCAGACATGGCCATTCATTAGCAAACTTGACAAAAAAACTCTAAAGGTGACCAGA